TTTTTTTTTTTCTTTCAAAGTTTTGTTTTTTGTGTATGTGTGTTTGCTTTAGATTAACTTTAGGTAACTAAACTGCTATATAGAAGAAGAAAAAACTATCTGACACTTTAATGATTCTATACTTGCTTAATATCAAAGACCATGCCTTTTTGCTTGCAACGTGCGGTGTCGAAGGGATTAATTTGATTAGTTTTCTAAAGGGTGGCTGGTATTAAGGCAGAGAATGGGTCCAGAAAACACTCGTTACCCAGCGCTAAAGCGTGGGTATAGCTTTTAATTCAGAAGGGGCTGAACGTGGTCTCTTAGCATCTTTGATCACAATCATGTTTAAAATGCTGCAATAACCTGGACTATATTCTTCAGGTATACAGAAGCTTAGGTGCTGCTGGGGCTGGTTATGCCTTCACATGAATTCCACTTTTTTTTTCTGTCTTTTTATCTTTTATCTGTCAACTCATTTAGCAAGTATAATCAAATCTGAATGTAGGGGCTGTCTGGAGAGAAACAGCATAAATATTAGACTGAATGTTAGATATTTAACATTTAGGCTGATCTTGGGGCTGAAGTCTGAATGTTTTTGCACTGTTAAAGTACTGTACAGAAAGACCGTGAGTGGAATATGGTAAATGTGTCCAGTTTTTGTAGATACTTTGTCTTGTTTATGACAGGAGATCTGCTTATATACGTTTTTAATGCAGTTTTAGTTGTAATACATTTACTGTCAAAATGTAATGTTAGATGTGGGAGTGTTGACAAAGAGATGATATAAGCTATGAGAGAGTTCTATTTGAAGAAAATGGAAAAGAGATTTCTTTACACTGAAAACAAAAAAAAATGCATTGATTGTGTTTGTGCTTTATTTTATTGTAGTGGGTAAGGTTTTTTTTTACCTTTTGTTTGACTTCTGAAAAGTGACATGTTGAAGTGCTAAGATTTGTGTGGGGTTTTTTTTATTTGTTTTTTTACATTGAGCTTTTTGACATTCATCCCAACAACCTAAAATGCGGTCCAGCTGAAAACTCTCCTTCAGCTGCTTTAAAAACAAAAGTTTTTAAAGAAGAGTTTGTTTGCATGCTTTGGTTTTGTGAAGCAGTGCTGTTTGTGGTGCAGCGGATGAAGCTGTGACAGCTCCGTAACATGGGAAATATTTTAATTTTGACTCCAACTGAATGCGTGGATGTGGTTAGCTAAAAGTAAAATACCACTTTGAGGAATAAAAAGTGGCACATTTAGGACCTGTAGTACTTTCTTTCCCTTAACGTGTAATTTCTCGAGCTTTTACAAGTTAATGAAGGTGGGGTTGTGTGGTCACGTCTGAAGACCGTTTACAGTGACGCCTGTCAGCAGAAGAGAATGGAGGAGAGATTCATCAACATATCCTTTGTGTGCATTTTCTTTGTTGCCCTTTGTCAAGTTTCTGTGAAATGCAGATTTTGCTCTACATGTATGCAGATGTTTAAGTGTACATTCCACAAATCAAATCATCTACGGGCTCCCTGTCTCTGCACTTGCTGCTCTGTTCAGATCCCTCATAATTTAAAAACAAAAACAAAACCTCAAGCATGTGTCACTTTTTACTGTCCCATACAATCATAAAGATGTTTGTCTCCAGTAGGACTCAAAAGCACCATGAAGACGACGGGTGCAAAACTCGTGATGCCTAAGAGAGTGCAAGTGAAGAGTAATTTTTACTTTGGTGCACTCGATCAGGAAACCTGTCACCTATTTGGTTCATTTGTTTTGTATGTTTGCTAAACAACGTACCCAAATGATTTCTTTTTACACTTTTACGTTACTAATTCTGTAAAACTTGTAAATATTGTAATTTAAGTTATTGTTGTTGGCATGGAGAGAACAGCACCATACCACCTATACATTCCCAAAGACAAGGCCTTCAGCTCAGTCATCCACATTGTCTGTTTAATGTTGCAAAAGCATTTAAATGTTGTCATATCCATAACAGACACTAGCTCAGTGTCCCTGTGTGTGTGATGTAATATTTACTGTTTGGAAGCTACATCATGAATAAAGTGAAAGGAAAGATCATTAACTGTTTTGGTGACTTGGTTTACTTGACCTGAAGCTTTACATTTGTATACTTCAACTAAATCGATTCGGGTTTAAAAACTTGGCATTCTTTACTTGCTTTTCAAGACTACTTTTATTAGAAGGCCCCCTGTGTTTAAGAGGCTGGCAGTGCAAGAGGGACTCTGTGGCTTTTGACCTATTTCTCAGTAAGTGCCCCCCAGTAGCATCTTATGCAACCCGTAAACATGAAAGGAAACAAAAAATTTTTTTTGGTATTTTGCTAGAATTTACCAGCACAGAATAAAACCATGGGACCATCTCAGTTTTATTTCAATGCTTCCCTTGTAGTGATAACAGCAGAGTTAACCACCTTCGCAGTGACAGCTACTGCAGCTTTACAGAAATGAAAACAGCCACCTCACTAATGGTTGAGTCTATAAACCACAAACACAGTGACGTAAACCATCATAAACCACGATCCTCTTAACAGAAACTGGTGCTACCAGAAATGCATGATGGCACCTTTTTCCTTTGCAGCTTTCAGTCATGTGTGAGTGCTCTCAGTTAAAATAAAAATTAAAAAAAAAAAAGCTTGAGAACCACCTTTGTGAAAATTTAACCCACCTTTAAGGACATTTATCAGGAAGAAAAACATGGGTAGGTTCTTCTAAACAGACCTAACCCAAAGTTAGTAATATCTGGTTTAATAGTCGCCTAAAACATGATGCTCTACACATCATGAATTTGGGGTTGATGATGCCCCGGATACCTATCACTCCTTCTTCTCCTTGGAACTAAATACATGTGATTTTTCATCTTTAGCTCAGAATCATACACACGCTTAAAACTTGCAAACTGTCTACAGGTGGTTCAATTATAAAATAAATAATTTTATCTTGAACTCAATCAGGCTTTCAAAAACTGGGGGTGGTTATGAGAAGGTGACAACCACCTTCAAAAAAAATTACCATTTGTTTATTAATAGTTGAACAAAGTTTCAATGCAACTCAGTTATATTTATAAATAAAAATAGCAAACAATACAGTGAGTTTTGACATATGTAAATATACAATATAAAATGGTAAGGCAAAGAAAATGGGCAAGTACACATGCTAATCACAAAAATATCAGTCTAATCTTTTAGGTAGATTTTTAAGTAAAGACAACTAAACAGCGAATTTTAAATTTTTTATAAACTTCCGGTTGGACGTAAGATCTGCCTTGGCCAAGCGTTGTAGCCAAGGAGACCGAGCTTCTATTAAAAAAACAAAACAAAAAAAACTTTATTTATAGCAAGGACCGATATTAACATAAACTGCCTAAATACATTTAAAGTACAAGAAAACCGAAAACAAATCATTGGGGGATACATAATAGCAAAACACCATTTTTTAAGTTAAAGATAATAAATACAGTTTTAAAAACAGTCTTGAATATTATGTAGGACTTCTACATTTAATTTGAGCAAAAACAAATTGAAACTAGTTAAAATACATATTAGAAGAGGAAATAAGATAAAAGAAAGGATGCGCAGCTGGCCTGAAAGATCGACGTCAGGGCTGAAAAAGAAGAAAAAAAGGAATCTTGGTTGTCACGGCAACGTTGTGTATGATCGAGCGCGTGCCAAATGAGCGTGAAAATAGTTATAAGTAGGAGTACCTATAGCTAACTTTTCTTCACTGGAAAACAATGGGAAGGGTGAAACAGCGAGCTATTTCAGTCAGGGGAGGCCTGAAGTACTAAAGCGGAGCGCGATGTCAAGTCATAACCTGCCACCGGTGCGCCATTTGCCACACTGGACCAGAGTAGGGCGGCTAGAGAAGCCTTGCTCGCTACGACGCTTACCGGCTAACCCTGAACAGCGGCTCCCGCTACCTGTTATCAAGCCAGCGGGCAGAGCAGCGGCAGAGACGTCCTGTCAGAGCGGCAGCACGGACCTCCGGGTTGCTTCACTGCAAAGAAACGTCCAGTTCCTACAAGAACAGCACAAGGAAACACTGAAGAAGCTCCACGCAGAGATAGAGAACCTCAGACGGGAGAATAAAGGTGAAGAAACAGTGCATTCATAACTCTTGTATGTGTAAGTTAATTATTTGTAAAAGCATAGAAGTCAGTGACAGCAGTCCTGCCATAGGTCTTTTTAAAAGCAGTAAAAGCAGAATGCTTTGTGGAATGAATGAAGTAAGCAAAAGTAAGTTTTCACATGCCTTTAATTAATGCTGTAATTTGGCCTTTCTGAGATTTTTTAATAGTGGATAGTTAGACAGATAGAGCACTCAATTATTCCCTGTGGGGAATTTTGAAGGGTTGTGGCATTCAAGAAACCACCCTATTTCATGGCTCACAAAGTCAAATAATTATCTAAAGAATTCACAGAGTCTGTGACTCCTGTCTCCTGACAAGGTGCGGCAAGACAAGGTCAGGCTAGGTATGGTGGACGCATGGCAACTCCAGGGTTTAGTTTTAATGATTTCTCAGTGGGAGGTGGGCAGATATCCGGTGTCACTTTGCAGAGCGAGCCGCATGCTGTTCCATATAACAACATGTCACCACCCACCAGGAGACTCCCCGGTCATCCGTCATTGCATCCTTGCTGCAGCAAGGCCTGTTTTGACTCATGGGTTGCTTACTGGTTGTTTAAGCCCACCTGCAGTGTACAGTACATTAAAGTTCTGTTGTTATGGATGTTGCAGAGTTGAAGTATAAGCTGATAATGGAGCCTCCTAAGTCAAGTAGAAAAGGTAACATGTTTAAGCACATGTAATGACTTATTAGGTTTTCATTTAGGTGAATTTCAATGTGCCACCTAAACTTAATGTCTGATCCTTCTTCTTCTACGAGTTGCACACAGTCGACAAAACTATAGACCACCCACTCAGGGCAGTCAAGCCCATACTGGACTGTACATGGAGGAGCCACTGCAGGACACGAGACTCTTGCAGGACCAGGCTCTCGGGTGAGTGGTGGGCCTTTTTCAGCTACTTATCTAGCTCAGTATTTACAAAGTGTGGTTATATTTCATAAATGATCTTAGCTCCCCCCCCCTTTTTTTTTTTCAAAGCTATGCACACAAGAACTGATGGATAAATTAGATTCAGATGCAGTAATATGGATATGATGGCACAACAGCCATTCATTAATAACTTACTAAGCAGATACTCAGATAAGCTCAGATAACAGGCTACTGTAAGGCAACCATCAAAAGCAGGAGAACACTAATTCAAGCTCTGTGTTTTAATCACTTTACAGAAAAACAAGATGTCAGCTGTCTCATATTAGGTAGTGATGTAGGTGCACAAGTATTATAGTGCATGTTAAATTAACACTATAAAACAGCATGAGGATATGAACGTGAAGCATGTAAAGAAGCAAAAGCCAGTATGTAATTAGTTATTTGTTGGTCTGGTCTGCAGTCTGAGCGCTTTGATTTCTGGAATATGTGCCTTTTTACATGTCTATAAACTTCTTGACCTGTTAGTACCAGGTTGGCTTTTGATCTGGTGACTGTGGAGGCGATTTGAGTACAGGAATCCACTGTCAGGTTCAAGAAAGCAGTTTCAAATGATCTGAGCTTTGAGACATCATGAATTATCCTGCTGGAAGCAAAGTGGGCCAGTGAATTGAACCTAGTCCCCTGTCTGTGAGGGGGTGGGGGTGGGGGGAGTTAACAACCAGGTATTCTCAACCTAAACTGCCTTATACATGTTATACATCGCCCTCAATGACATTATCTCATTGACTTGCAGTAGCATTGGAGCAAGCACTGAAATTCTGGATTCAGCCAGGCAGGACTATGGCACGGAGGCCAATGGGCGCCTCATCACTTCACTGCAGCCTCTCCGAATTCACAGCAGTTCCTCCCAGCCCCCACGGGCCCCCACACTACAGGAGTGTGAGATCATCATCCGACAGCTATATAATGCTAACAGCTTACAGTCTCAGGAGGTAAGTGCCTGAAGGGCAACGCTTAGCTATTCAGTGTTTTAGTAGCTCTGTTTGTTGTGGCTTTTAAAATAGTTACTTAAAGTACAACCCTGTGTCATCTAGATCGTGCGTGTGAAAGCACTGCTCAGAGACATCGTTTCAAACAAGAAAATCACCCCAGAAAACTACATCATGGCTAAGGCCTACCTTTCAGATGGAACTCGGTGAAGTGGCATTATCATTTTCATCATCAGCGACATACAAAAGCCTTCAAAGCAGCAAAATTATGATAACAGTTTCTAATTTTCTTTGTGTGTTTCAGCGGGTCTTTAGAAGAAAACAAATTACCAAAACTTGGCCTTCAGTCATTCCCAGAAAAACAGTATGTAATTTTGTCTGATTTTGTATTCTGTCACAGTGCACAAAACAGATTCCTCAAAGCCCTGTTCTGCTAATTTTCACAAAACTTGGTTGCATAATAGCCCAGAGCTGCCTTTTGCAAGAGAGATCGAGGTTTCTGAGTCAAAAAGAAAAAAAAGCCAAGCATGTTAGTCACCCAGAGTTAAATCCACATATCCTTTCCCAGGTGTGGAACATCTCAGTCTGGGGTTGTCTTCCCTGCCCTCAAACAGAGCCTTGGCTACAGCATTGCAGATAGACAGAAGAGGTCCCGTGCTGTGCAGAGAGACCGTTTGAGAAGGGCTGTTCAGTGACAGGAACACAAATACCAGAGCATATTTCTGTGGTATATAATGAAATAAAGCATTTCTGATTGATGATGTTTTATGATGTCATAAAGTTGAGCAGGATAGAGTGGTCGCAGCAGGAATCGCACAACACTTAGTGAATGACGGCCCAGTTGGATTACCTCTTCCAGTAAGCCTTGCCAGTGTGAAGCAGCATGCCGTACGGAAGCGCCTCCCTTAAGTGGAATGCAACCATCATTAACACACCTGTGTGCTTCCTGTCATGGCATGTCAAAATGTCTGCTGCTCGGGGAAAAAAAAACCTATACAGACACGTCACGTTTATTGACAATTATTGCTCATAATGATGTGTAAGACGGACAGATAACACAAATAATGCTCTATAAGGCCTGGATTTTTTTTTAGTTTTTCTACATAGCAGAAGGACTGATTTCAGCTTTTCACAGGGAATCTTTTTTTTTTTCAACCATTGAGTTTCAGGACATTTGTGGCTTGTTGTCACTTCACAAAAAAGCAAACATAAAAGCACACTTTGTTTTTCATAAAGCCACTTTTTTTTGTCATTCAGTGTGCTAAAGAGCAGTTTAATGATTTTTACTGGCCAAGCATTAGTATTTAATCATTTACAATTTGAGTTTAAGCATAAGGATGAAAGGGTATAAATGTCCTCTGCACAAGACAGTGCTGTTCTTTAAATTTTTCCCTTTGCGCCTGACTCTTTGGGATACTGTTCCTTTTAGTGGACCAATCGTGTGGAGAGTTATTTGCATGCTGAGTGTCGTATTTGAGATATAATGACACAAAATAGGCAACAGGTGATCCTGCCTTAAATAAATGTCCTATTGTTATGTTAGCACTGGTTTCTAAGGTCATACACCACTGCAAACACTGAATTTGTCAGTTTAAGAGAAGTGAAATGTCACTTAGGTTTTGATCGTTGAAGATTTGCCAAAGTGCGCAGTTTACGGCGATAGTTAGAAGAAAGTGTACTTTATTGGTCCCCGTGGGGAAAATCCCTCTCTGCATTTAACCCATTCACTCAGTGAAGCAGTGGGCAGCCATTGGGCGCCCGGGGAGCAGTGTGTAGGGACGGTACCTTGCTCAGGGGTACCTCAGGGTAGCTGTTCAGGGGAATCGAACCCCCGACCTTCCGATCATGGGGCCACCACTCTACCTACTGAGCTATATTAAGAAATGTATTTAAAGCTTTGATTTCTTTGTTTATGTGGAGCATTACTTGTGTTTAATTAAGCCCAACTGCGGTCCTCTTTACATGGTTTATGAGTCATTTTGTGCTTCACAGGCTGCGATCCCTTTATTCCTTCTCTCTAGAAGAACCCTCACAGGCTCCTTTAGTTGCTGATTCATGCATAACATCTATATTGGACATGTATTTATAGTATAAACACTGCATAAAGTTGAAACAGAATAAAATAAACAAGCCGTGGTGTGCCTTTTTATTGAACTTGCTTGTCATATGAATGCTGCGCTGAAAACAAGGAAGTTAAAATAACCAAAAGGAGAATTGGCCACTCGACAGGCCTGGCTACAGCAACGTTGTCAGTTCTGCTAAATTAGGCCGTGGTCTTGTATTAACTCTTCACTAACTGAATGAAAAAATAATTAGTGAGAACAAAAAAGTTTAGAAAGTTAAGGTAAGACTGTGAGCATGCAGTTGTCACAGGTAATGTTATGTGATATTGTAAGAAACAAGAGAAAAGTGTGGTTTCTTAAAGTTTTAGAAATGCTATGAGGAAGTGGCTTGTTTAAAAACATGTGAACCAAAGCAACAACAAACTGAAACATGAGGAAGTAATGAAGTGGGTGAAAATTCTTTGTCTGAAGCCTTTATTGTGAACCTGGTGTACCTGTAGAAATCTAGAAGTATTTAAAGATATCTATGGATATCTATCTATCTGTCCATTTAGTAGCATGTAAACAGGTTTCCCTTTACACCTTTACAGAAACCTGACTGGATATTCTAGGAAACCAGGCTGAGAGGTGAAAGGTGACTCATGCCATGGAGGCTGTAACAGTGAGTCGCTCATCTATATAAACCCTTACACTGGTCTAAAAATACACTGACACTTTAACAGCAGCATCTCGTGCCATAATTACCAGTGTACTGCTTGTCTGTTGTCAGTCTTCACATCAAAGCATGCTCAACTTTGAATTGAATGCCGGTGACAACGATCAGGAACGTGATAGGATGTTAAAATAAAATATAGGAGAGGCTAAGTATTTCAGAAGTGAAGGCTGGGAGGGGGTTCGCCACACTTCCAGAGACTGCATGGATAGAGGATACAGAGATTTTATAATATATGGTAAAAACTTAAGAGGATCTTGTTCCTGTATGTCTGTATGTGTGACCCTGGGCAGGATTTGTCAAGGTAAACTCTGTGTTTGTGTTCTGGCACATGAGAGCAAGGTTGCAACTGTGCTCAGGAGCTTTAGTCTCTATAATTTGTTCGAAATTAAAATAAAATAAGAAGCTTTTTTTAAGCAAGGTTTACAGTCTCAGAGAAACTGACCTTTCCGACACAGGTCTAATCTTGCATCGTGTAATCATCCTCTTCAAAACTTGATTTAAATTATAATTAACTGCAGTTTGCATCACTACACTGGAATTCCTTTAACTTTCTCACAGGATACATAGTTAGGCACAAGCAGTAGATGGTTTGTAAAATGTGTAAGTTTCTTATGAAGTCTTAAGTGTTAGTGGTGTGAATGAATCGGGGGGAAGGGGCATTTATTTGCAGACTAATAGCTTACACACAATCTGACTCCCTGAAATTAAACTGTGGCGATGCTCTCTGCAGTGTCTTAGGTTGCGTCTTCTGCAGCCGAAAAATAAGCTGGGTGGAGAGGGGGCCTCTCGGGCCATAATTACTTTTCTTTTTGTTTCGCCTGCGCAAAGAACAAGATCACAGGTTTTGTTCACTAGTTCCTTGTGTAGCAACTCATCAACCACCGATTAGGTCAAGGGTGGTTGTGTCATCTGTGCATTTAATCTTCAGACTGCAGGGCATCGAGACTGAGCTAAAAGAAGCAGCCATTCAAGGTTACTGTGTTGATGTGAGTTTAACAGAGGTCAAACGTTTTAAAGCTATTGCAAAACCAGTTACAGATGGGGTTTTGGGTTAAAGAACCAGCTTTTCTAGGCTTTTCTGCATGTGTGCTGACCTGAAGTTATCCATTTTAGTATGGTGGGTTTTTGTAGCAGCTGGTACTTCAAAAGAGCACTTGAAGGACTGTGGAACTGCTGTTAGGTAGTCAAAATGTCACGTTTCATTACGTTTGGACTTGTAGTATCGCTTAACCTTAACCTGCCACACAGACAGACAACAAAATCTATTGATAATGGGATGATGGCAGACATTGCATTTTGCGTACATCCACTAGATGGTGATGTTTGTGAAGAAACCTTCAGTGTGCATCTACATACAAGGTTAGACAGCAGGTCAGATAAAGGTACTGTATGTCTCACCCTGCAAAATCCCACAAAACCCATCACTTAAATGAAAAGTTGCCCTAGTTTTAAATGCATCAAAGCATGAGGTTGAAGCCAATATAAGCCTTTTTACCCATAATTCGAAGTAAACTAGTCTGTTTTTGTTTCTCTTTTCAATTAGTTGCAGCACTGCATCTTTGTGGAAATGTGGGAGTTGGCAGGCTTAAGCCATTAAGTCTCGGTGGGTGCAAATCTATTAACATTCAGACAGTGTTTCAGTGATGAGAGCTGTTCTGTGCCAGCTGTAGCCTCATGAGGCACGGCCACTGAAAGCTCAGTCACCACAGGGACAGAGCTTCTTTACAGATCCTGCTTTTATCACTGAGCAAAACTTATTCTGCTTGGCTGAATGCTTGCCGCACTCTGCTTGTGTTCTCAGATGCATTCTTTCTCTTATATTGCATTCTTCTTCTTCAGAGACACTGCCCCTTGCATTTAAATGCGCGCTCTCTCTGCAGCATATTCTGTTTTGGATTGGGTTATTTTGGGTGAGCTCCAAATCGATTTTTCACAGTTCTTTGCCAGATAATACTTATTATCGAATGAATGAAGGGGAAGTTAAATAACACCAGGAAATGAAAATAGGAAATAAGTACAATTTTATACTGGTGGTATGAATAAGTTGTTGACTGAGCAAATATACTGTACCTATGAGCTGCGGTTATGTGGCTAAAAAAGTATATTAAAAACACACGAGCTGACCACTGACTTAAAGGCACAGAACACAAAAAGATCCGAGACAATCATTAAACACAGTACTAACATAAGAACACGTTGTTCGGCAGACATCTAACTTTTTTTTACTCAGAATTATAGCTTATTCTATCTGTGAATCATTTGATAGAGTAATGTTTCTATTTGTAGAAAAAAAGCTCAATCATGATGCTTCTCTTCACACACCTACATAACTACCTGTCAAAAGCACATATATTGGCACTTTCTACTCCACAGTACTTCAAAGCTGCAATAGATCGCAAAAAATATGCTCCAGTGTTGTACGGTAAAAGTAGTAGTTAAATTAGCCTAGATTTAACAGAACCAGCTATGACTGTGAAACACTGCCTACACATATTTCCAATTAAGAATCAACTAATGACAGTGTGGGCATTTAAACTGAAATAACACCTCGCTCTCATACACATTTAGTATGTTACAGCAGCCTTTAACATCAGTGTTGCCTACTTAAGACCTGACTGCTTAGCCTCTGCTGGATTGGTTTAGCATTTATTTGAGGTTTAGCCATACTAAACTGTGTTATTATATTTTTGAGTCACACGCTGATTCCCTTTGAAGTTTTGAAAAGCAAACATCCAATTAAATGACTACGTCAAAGCAGGAACACTGAGTAAAAAACACACTTGTATCTCGACCTGCTCCACATTGCTATTTGCACTATATTCCCGAGACGATGGAACAGCAGAAGAATCTATCAGCAGAATGCTTCACTGAGAAATGACTGACACCTACTCTCGCGGAGCTAGGGGCTGTCCGTGGCTTCGCCAACCGCCCACCTCCTTCCTTCACTCCCCCTCCCCTCTCTCTCGCTCCTGCCGTCAGTGACGCGCTGATAGAAAGCGGGACCTGCCCTCCGGTCGCCATTTTTCGACCTCAGTACTTCTGGTAGCCTGTGCTAGTGGGGACGAGCGGAAATAAGGGAAAGTATAAAATAAAGCAATCGTTAAGCCGAGATCCCTTGTGAGCGGTCGGGGATGCACGCGACAGCTCCCGTAAACGGTCGTGGCTCCTGAGATGCACGCGCAAGAGACGAGTCGCTGCCCTGAAATCATTTTTTTGTGTGAAGACGTGTTGCGAGCCGCCATTTTTCTGCTGTGTTGCCTCAAAAGTCTGCTCCGACTCGAGAAAGGGGATTCGAAAACGCGTTTCCATGAAGTGTGTATCGCCGTGAGCTCCGCGGGATTTCGGCTGATAGTTTCGTGACCTGCCGTGGACCTTTGTGCACAGATGAGGGATTATCAGATGTAAGAAAAAGGAAGAAGAAGGGGGGAAAGTGAGGCCACATTTTCCGCTCTTAGAACTGACACTGACTGGAGGAGATACATTTATTAGAAGAGAAGATTTGGTGTTTTCTCGGAAGGCGGAACGAAAAGGGGAAGCTTCATTGATCGTTTGTTGCTCTGGCCCTCCGTCAATGGTAGCCTGTCGTAAGTTTGCTCGTTTTTCTTCTGTTATTTGGCCCCCTTTTAACAACTGCTCGGCCGCAGCCTGGACTGCTGCTGAACACAGGGACAACAGTATGCTCCAGAGTTGGATCAAGTCACTGGCAGCCTGCATCTGAAAGGAGAAAAAAAAGAAAACAAAAACGCCAAGCTGTTTTTGTTTTTCTTAAACAGATTTTTTTCGGTGCCTGAGGCGTTTTGTGAAGAAATCACTCGGAAACTCCTTCCAGAGCGACGAGTGCCCTGCCCTGAGTCTTCCAAATCCTACAGTTTGCTGTGATTGGCCAATTGGAACCACGCATACAGCTTTTAACTTATTGCCTAGCCAATCCTGTAGTATTTTCCTTTCTATTATTATTAATATTAATTTGTAAGCCACATTAACTTATTTTTGAACAGAAATGTCAACTGCTCGATTTGATTCCTCTGATCGGTCCGCCTGGTATTTTGGACCCGTGTCACGACAGGAGGCACAGAATAGGTTACAAGGACAGAGACATGGCATGTTTCTTGTTCGAGACTCGTCGACCTGCCCCGGCGACTACGTACTGTCGGTGTCGGAAAACTCCAAAGTGTCTCACTATATCATCAACTCTTTGCCCAGCAAGAGGTTCAAAATAGGGGATCAAGAGTTCGACCACCTCGCAGCTCTCCTGGAGTTCTACAAAATCCATTACTTGGACACGACCACGCTGATAGAGCCAGCCCCCAGGTAGGGAGGTCACCCACCACGACTTTACCATATTATTTATTTATTTATTTTTATCAGAACTAACCCAGTTTCACTTGGTTATGTCATAAAATCAGCACTATTACCACACATCTAGTTTGCTTGCTTGTTTGTTTGGGTTTTTTTTTCTTTTAAGTTTTGGTACCACTGGAAAAATAAACCTCACTGAGGATTTGTGTGGTTTTACAACCAAACATGATACCACATTTTGGTAATTGAGGAGTTAGGTAATCGTGTTTGTAAAGGATTTTATTCAACAAATAATGCAGTTTTGTTGTATTCTAGGCTTCACAGTGATAACTTTTAAGGATAACAAATTAACATTTACTTAATTTCCTCATTATTTTTCGTTTTTGCTAAGGTATTCAAGTACGCCGAGTCCTCCTGTCCAGCCCATGGTTGGAGCAGAGGAGAATCTGGAGTATGTGCGGACTCTGTACGACTTCACCGGCAGCGATGCTGAGGACCTTCCCTTCAAGAAGGGGGAGATCCTTATCATCCTGGAAAGACCGGAGGAGCAGTGGTGGAGCGCCAAGAATAAAGATGGACGTGTTGGGATGATCCCTGTGCCCTACGTAGAGAAAGTGGTACGACCTTCACCCCACCCTGTCCAACCTTCTCATGGATCGCGAAACTCCAACAGCTATGGGATCCCTGAGCCCTCCAATGCTCTTGCTCATGCCTATGCCCAACCCCAGACGCCTTCTCCAATGCCCAACGCACCTGGAGCAGTTATCGCTCCGCTACCGTCCATGCAGAATGGCCCTGTCATGGCGAAAGCCATCCAGAAACGAGTGCCCTGTGCCTACGACAAGACTGCTCTTGCTCTAGAGGTATTGTATTTATTTGATCTTACCTGTTTTATTTCTTTGTTTTTGTTTTTTGTGTTTTTTCTAGGCGATCAATGTGATTTCATCATGTTTTAATGCACTGCTCATTTTTATAAAGGATGGATATTGTAATTAAATCATTAGCTTTTCTAAAATCTGTTTAGCTGGACCTTTGATCTGTAACGCAACATCATGCAGTAAATTAATATGCCAGGTAAGGGCCTGGAGTACAACACGCTATAAGCTTCTTTGCCTAAAGCAGCAGTATCCCATCTTCAGTCATTTCTTAATTATTTTTCCATTTGTGCCCAAATAAATCAAAAATGCCTGTGTGCAGCTTAGACTTTTCTACATAAATTAGAGTTTATCACCTCAGTCAAGTTAAAACACTGAAAAAACTTGTGTAGAAGTCACAGAAGCTAAGAGGTTTTATAGAAGACTTTGTTTTTACATTTTCACAACCTGACATCTCTCTAGGAGCTGTCAGGTTACTTAAACATAGACAACAATCGCCAATCTCAAGAGTTAACTCTTATAAAAATTAGGTTGTGTGACCAAAGCTTGGAGAGGCTTCTGTGTAGAACGATCACTTCTTTTTATACTAAAATTGCAAAATTAAGTAGTAGAGGGACCTGGGGAAACACCAGTGCCGCCTTCAGTTACCGCAGTAGTTTTGCTGGTTCAATGTGAGAAAGTGTCTACAGATAAGCTTCGCCCTTTCTCAGTCCTTTTGACATTCTAGCCTGTTGATGTGTGCTCACACTAAAAGAATAATAACCAAACTGTGGTTTTAGCATCTTGCTGCTTGCTCTTATCAGGCCCTTCCTGTTTGTTTGAATATAAAAAGTTATTATTACACCAGGAGACTACCTGCAAGTTCACAACTAGCTCTGGACACTGGCTGCACAAAGATGTTTTGGTTATGGGGTGCTGCTGTTCAGTCAGAATACATGAACCACATCTATTTTGTAGCCTTGGATAGTTAAAAAAAACAAAAAAACAAAACAAGTTTCTGGCTTTGGATTGGACCAAAAGTCATGCAGATATGAGATGGGTGGTTTGAGAGAGCTTAATATGATTCTTGGAATGATGAATAATAAATGCAAAACAAAAGTTTGCAGATGTAAATGGGAGGGTGGGTGGGGAATCTAGTGAAACTCACCACAGCATTGTGGCTTTTGATCACTTGTCTCTGTGACTGAAGCTTACACTCAGTGCTGTCCATCTAAATGCTAACCTGGAAGCGGCTTTGACGAAAGCATTTCTCAGCAGTCTTGCCTTCCTCAGTGGTACGCTGTGGCTAATACAAATCTGCTCTGACTGTGGTGGCATGTCGAAACATGCAATGCAATGCTCAATATGTGCCTCAGAAATATAGTGGGCCTCCAAAACACTCAGCTCCAATAGCAGATTGAGCTGTAGTGTAGTTTTTTTTGTTGTTTTTTTTATCTTTTTATTTTTCACCCCAGGGGAAGGATGAGAATGCAAGCTATCTTAAAATAGTGCCACTTCCATTCACTCCCATCAGTTTGACAGCAGTTATAGGTGTAAAATAGGGCAGTAGATATGGATACAGAGAAGTACTTCCTCCCTGTGACTCTTTCTTGCACATAAATGAGTGTAAATTGAGCATATCTGAATCCTGCTAAAGGTTAAGCAGTTTTTTGTGTGTGTGGGGGGGGGGGTTGTTTCGTTGATGTGTTGTTAAGTAATCGACAGCTAATAGCAGTCACCTCAAAAAATGTCCCTAACCTCATTTAGACTCAAACTGCGATGCTGGTTGAGTGCATAAACAAGATGCATCAGCTGGCTAGTGTCTCTGCACCCTTCTGGGCCTGTTGTCGCCCATCTTTTATTAGCACCGAAATGAGATTCCAGCTTCCATTTAATAAATGTTCATGTAACTTACTGTAATAGATAGAAGAGAGGAAGAGACGAGGCCAAGGGACGGCTGTAAAGAAAGACGGGTTGCACCCGAATGAGCAGTCAAGAGTGAGCATGTGAGAACTGAAACTTGAGGCGGGACTGTGTTTGCCGCTTACATTTTTTGTGATCATATGGTGTAGCAGTGAAGCAGCAGATGGAGCCATGGTTAGCAAGAGATGAAATATTAAAGTTAAATGTGGCTCTTCTCGGTACATGCATGATTCCCAAAAGTACATCTCAGATGATTATTGATGCAACAGTGCATTTGTTGGTGCCAGCATAGATGCTCGTATAATGCTTGCTGGCTCGTGTTATTAGTTAAGTGAAGAGTACATTTTCTCTGTTTCTAAGAGATTCCCCAAGCTGGTCTGATGGACCTTCAGGTGAACAGCTTTAGATGTTTTGTCCGGAATCGGAATTAACTCGTTTTATTTTTATTTTTTTTTTTTTTAATAAACCACCAGAGTCTGGCAAAAAGCAAACTTTGGCCCCTGAAGGCATTAAAAATGTTAACATGTGAGAATAAAAATAAACTTGACCTAACATTTTTTTTAAATGATTATTATTAATCAGGGATTGATTTAAATCCGATTGGCATCCATTTTCATTGTTGCTTCTTTTGTTTCCATTTCATTTATTTATATTTTAGTTGTAAATGTCACAAAACCAAAATTTTCTGTGACACTGCTTTGATTCTTTTTCCCAACTTGTAATCACCGACCTGTGTTCAGGGTGATATGGGTAATGCGTTCCCACGGTTCATCCTAGGTTATGCCATTTCATGTTGTCATCGCAGGTTTTAGAAATTGCCACATCTATTTGCATTGGCGAGCTCCACCTAACTCCAAGTATTAGTTTATTTCAACTGGACATAAGTAACCATAAAGCCACAGGAGGTTTCATTCCCCAACTTTGACGTGGAAGTACTGTTAATACCTGATGTTGCACAGTGCTAAATTGCAATGGTTGGATTGATTTCCACAGAGAAAAAATAATAATAATGGTAGTTGTTGAAATCTGCATCATAGATAAAGTCTTTGACGTCAGTGCTTCTAGCTTTAGGAACAGAAAGCTCATGGTCAGATACATGTATCACCACTTTGCCACCAGCGCCAGTCTTCCTCAGAGTAAAGTAATGAAACTGTTCCAGATTCAGTGTTGCTGCATTCGTTACATTGTCCATGCAACAAATGCAGATTTGTTTCTTGGCACAGTCTTCTCTCTTGTGTATAGTGATAGCCCTTGTACCTGCTTAAAGATGGGCAGCACTTGAATGGTTCAATAGGTTCACTCTGCAGAGTCCTGATTTGAATTCTCTTAACTGAGCTTCATTTAAGGAATCTGCATATTCAATCTAGGTTCTGTGTGTTTACGCTCCTGTGAAGACTTACAAATGTAGACATCCATAAGGTTCTCTGAATGTATATATGGATACAGCTTTAATTACTGCTGGTTAGTTCTCTGGGATACCTTCGCTACTTATGTCTCTCAAAATGTGAATACTGGGGGGGGGGGCAGCATTCCTTAATCGAAAACCTCCTCCTGGTTATGCATTTCCTTGTTCATTTGCGTAATCTGCAGCCTTGCTTTTTCTATTTTGCAATTCCCGACAATTTTGGTTTGCAATTTGACTAAACCCCAAGTCACCATTCGCCTGTCAACAAAGCTTTGCTGTTCACAGCTGTCGGTGTGTGCCCCCTTTCAGCCTCTGATTGATACACAGTATACGATCACAGACTCTGGCTATTAATGTGCGTCATAACTTTTGAATGAACTGACGCAGCTTAAAAAGCTTTATTGACTTTTTCTGCTGTACTTTTACAATTACACAACTCCATAACTTCAAGTCATAAAAGGTGATTCCCACAAGAGAGTTTCCTCTCGGTTGGGTCTGTCTTTATTTTTTTATTTTTTTATTTTTAAATCTGGAAGCTCTTGGAATTCCAGATTTGTACACCATCTATTTCAATGTATCCACATTTTCTAAGTCTTTGGTTTTTAAATATACTGTGTAGCATGCTGCAAAAAGCTCGGCCTAAATGGAGATGATGCTGTAGAAGTTCAAGACAAAGAAGAGCACCCAGAATTTTAAGTATCTACACTTCACCAGTGTTCATTATAGTTGGTTAATTCAAAAAAGGCATCAAAAACTTTCACTAGCTAAAGCGGTGTTTCCACGGTTATTTTTGGCTTCGAATTTGCCTCCACTGAATGCACAGAATCTTTAATTTTGTGGCATCTCTCTCTCTCTCTCTCTCTATCTCTCTCTCTCTCTATCTCTCTCTCTCTCTATCTCTCTCTATCTCTCTCTCTCTCTATCTCTCGCTCTCTCTATCTCTCTCTCTCTCTATCTCTCTCTATCTCTCTCTCTCTCGCTCTCTCTCTCTCTCGCTCTCTCTCTATCTCTCTCTATCTCTCTCTATCTCTCTCTCTATCTCTCTCTCTCT